GATACCACGTTTTTCTTCATATAGTCCAGCTTCTCGGATTATTTGCTCAGCATATAGATTGAATAACCTTCTATAGCTCCCTATTATCCCCAGCCCTGAGGACAAAGTCCAAGCTCCTTAGCCTGGCCTCCACCTATCTCTCCACCCTCTTCCAGCCTTGCAATTTCCCTCACTGGCAACAAGGACTGGCCTTCCACTTGGGCCCCTTGCACACACGCAGTACTCCTTCAAGCCACACTGTCTTTGCTGGTGCCACACACCCTCCCTACACCCTCTCCTCCACCTTGGTCTCACACGTCCTGCTCCTCCAGATCCAGCTGCAGCGGCCCCTCTCTGGACACCCTTTCCTGATCTCACCATACCCAAAAGAGACTCTCTTTCTTCTTGGCTTTCCCTCCCCTGTCCATCACAGTCCAGCTCTGACCTCTCATCTGACCTGGGCAGGGCCCAGGCCTGATTCAACTGGGTCGCCACCATCACCCAGCACGGGACCTGACACACCGGAAGCCTCAGTAAATGTTTGTTTAACTAAGTAATGGGAGGGTGAGTGAGTGAGTGAGCGAGTGGGTATAGGCAGGAAGACACGGAAGGCCTGAACGCACGGGTGAACAGGGCAGATCAGGACAGACGAGAATCAGTCTTAGGATGGGAGGAACGGGTGGAAGAGCTAAGATTGGGCATCCCACACTCAGTTTCTCCAACCCAGCAAAATGGGTCCGCCCTAAGCTTGCCCCTCCACTGCGACCCTCGCGGCAATTCACTCCTCGTTAGAGCTATGGTCAGAATCCCCAAGCTGGGCGTGCTGGGAAGGGCTTACCCCACCGGGCTCGCAGAACAGGTTCCATCAAGAGCCTACTCCGGCCTCTGCGGTGCCCGGCGAGCGCCTCCAATGAACACGCATTCCGACTCCGCAGATTCCCCGCCCATTGGCCAACTGGCAGAGATTGGCGGATTCGCAAGCCTATCTTTGTCCGCCTCGGGCTGTGGGCCCCGCCTACCAGGGTAAACGCCCTGAGTGGCTTAGGGAGGCAGGAGATGGGAGAGTCTATTGGCTGGATGACAGTGACTGACGTCAGGGGTAACTTATGGCTGCTAGACTCCGGGTGAGTACCTCAGTGTCAGACCCG